GGGAATGCAACTCTGATAGTGCATCGATATATCGATAGATCCTTAAGCAAAAATTACACATTTATTGATTTTTTTTAATGAGGAATATCAAAAGATATCAAATATCAAAGGAATATATGTCAGTAAGCACACACAAACTTCGATCTATCGGTGCACAAATCGATATGGAATATAATTGATCGATCAACAAATCGATAGTTCGATTAATAAAAATCGATGCAGGATTATATGACATCGATAAATACGTCGAACTATTAACATTTGCAAGAAAAATTTATATATTGTATATTCCGATAAAAATGATGATATTTCGACAATTTAATGCATTTAATCATTTTTTACATTTATCACATTCTGTATATCAAACTTTATAAAGATTTTTGCATTCTTATCAATGCAAAGTTCAATAAATCAACAATATAATTAACTAAAGTTCGATAAATCGAAAATAATTGTATACATTTTCGTCTTTTCATTCTCTACAAGTTTCCAGATCTATTAAGGAATAATTTCAGTACTTCACAACTTGTTAACATATCTCGACATATCTACAGGGTATTTTTTCAGTCATGATCTCTTTGAAAAGTGCAACAGACTTAGTTGTCTTATGTTATCAAGCGTGCATTGCCAGAAGGCCTTCAGAATTCAAGTACACTCGACAGAAGAAAAGCTTATATAGTATATGTCTACATAGTTGGGTCCAAATGTCGCACTGTGGGCAGGGGCAGGGGCAGGGGCAGGGGCGGGCATTCCAGTTAGGACAGGGCATAATCGATGGGGGCTGCACCTGTAATCGGGTGCGATAAGAGCCAAAAAACTTGTAGGAAGTCGACTAAATAACGTGACAAACGATTTGTTAGTCGCAAGTTTAGTTAAATCATTCGACATTTTTGTGGAAATAACAAATTAAAAATAAACATTAAAAAAGGAAACCTGTTTCCCACACACAAAGTCAGCGAAAGATTTGCGATAAACAAAAACCAAATATCGACAATCATAAAATGCGAAATGTTGCCTCTTTAATGTTCGCCACAATTAAGGAGCAACTAGATAGAATAAATCATTTCGCGTTTTCATGTTTTTCCATATATATACATAAATTCTACAAAATCGTTTTACGATCTTGCGGATTGGAGCCAACAAATTTCCGACAACCTCCGCTCCCTCTCCCCCCTCCCCCCTCCATTTGAGGAAAACTTGTGACCACAAATTGCATTCTCTTTCTAGTTTCTCTCTTGCCTTCTTTTTTTTTGTATGTAGTTACCGATTTGATTTATTGCGGGATGCATCGGTTGCAAATTGGCTTTGGCGCGGGTCACCCTGTGCGGAAGCCGCTGCAGCGCCCCCTGGCGTTGGCCAAGAGCAGCGGATTCGCGTTTTTGGCAATGGGAATTGAAATATACGATCAAAACAAAACTGTCGGGAAGGCTATGTAAAGCGAGAATATAGCTAAGCTAGGCGAATGCGGGATGCCTTGCCTAGGTAATCGATAATTATCGATTTTCAATGAGGAAAAAACGGCTGATCGGTTGGCAAAACTGTTGAAAACAAACAATCGATAGTTATTGTAATGCTGTTTATAATCGATAATTGTCGATATTTATAAACTATATGCTGGTAACGATTACTTAGGCTATAGATGAATATTGATGGTCGATAATTATCGATTTGAATTATGAAAACTATATGCCGATCATTTTGCAAAAATGATGGAAACGCTATGTATTGATTAGTTAGACGAATGTAGAATGCTTTTTCTAGAGAAATAATCGATTTTTATCGATTTTTTATAACTATGTGCTGATCGACTGGTAAAGGCATTGGGAAGGCTATATATAAAGCATATAGATTAGCTAGACGAATGTTATCGATAAATTTCGTTTTTTATTATTAAAACTATATTATGATAGGCTGGCAAAAGTGTTGGAAAAGCCTTGTGTAGCAAAAAAATTTAAGTTAGACGAATGTGGAGTGCCTAGCCCAAAGAATCGATAAATATCGATTACTCAATAAAACTATACTATTTATAGAGAACATAGATTAACCAGAAGAATATAAAGAAGCCGTGCCTAGATGGTTTTGATTGACGGGAAAGGGTTTATGCTGATCGATATGCACTCATGTTGTTATCGATAATTTAAACTATCGTTAACCAATGATGGGTTAATACCGATAACAATAGCCTGGATATTGTTTGCGATACATTAAAATCGATAGCAATTGATAGCTTCAATTATCGATAAATTAAATTTCAATTATTTTATTAATTTTTTTTTTAATTTAATTCATTCAATGCCCTCGCATAATCAATGTACCCCACGGCACTTGTAGGGCATATGCAAAGTGAATAAAGCGAAGATCGCTGCATGCAAAAATTTCGCTTAATTTTCCTTTTTTTTCTTGTTGTATTTTTTTGGGTTTTTATTTTTATTTTTGTTGTCAGTCGCTTGCGTCTTCTTGATTTTCCGCGGCGCTTGACGTTCAACAAAAATTTGTATTTATTTCAATTTTAATATTTGTAAATGGTTTTTTTTGTTGTGTGTGTGGGCGTGACAAATGCATGTGCCTGTATCAATTTGGCACAACAGCAACAACAACAACAACAACAACAAGAACAACAACAACAATTATCATTAGGCAAAGTAAATAAATTAATTGTTGATTTTGGCGCGTGAAGAAAATTAATGCGAAATTAATGGAGCGTCAAGGCGCCGTCGCCGTTGCATTTCAATTAGCAATTAATTAATTAGCTGCAGAGAGTTGAGCTTAAAAAAAAAAACAAACAAAACTAAATTCAATTATAAATAAAAAAAAAACGCCAATGCAGTCGTCACAGTTAAAAGCTGGCTGCTATGCGACGCAGCTTAAATTACATTTCCTGCAGTCCGCCCACAAATGCTGATTAAGTCTCCAATTTGTGTCTGTGTGCGTGTCTGTGTGTGGACGCCATGTGGGCGTTGTCAGCCAGCGCCGGCAACAGCCAAAAACCGACAACAACAACAACAACAACAAAACAGCTGTTGCGGCTTAGCTCGCACAGCTGCGCGGCGCTGCCGGCGTCAGCGTCAGCTGAGTCGTCACAATCCACACACACACACACGCACGCACACAAAACAGCCAAACAAAGGCTGCGTGCCGTGCGAGCGAGAGGCAAGACTTTTGCATGGAGTTTTTGTAAATGGTTGCACGGGTGGAGGGGGGTGTTGCGGGGCGTATGGCTGTTGGGTGAGGTTAGGTTTGCCACTCATGAGTGCGCGGCTGGCCGCTGATGACTAATAAACGGCAACAAAATAAAAGACTCGAACAAACAATAACAACAAACAGAGACCATAATAAAACCGGCAAAATAGCTTCAAATGGCAGACAAAGAAAAAACCGGCTTCAACTATGTATGTATTGCACACACACACACACATATATGCACAAATTTATGCACATTAATATGAGTGTGTGTGCATATGTTAAGGCAAGCAGTATAATGATCTCTAGCTAGAGGGAGAGAGTGAGAGCGAATGGAGCGCATCAATAAATGAGAAGCGCAAGGAGAGGCGAATAGTTAAAGTTTGATTTTGAAGAAGAAATACAATTGCAGCTATATGTATAGCAGATGTTTTATATATTATCTATATTCTGATAGATACTAATACATAAGCTCAAGCTTCGCTTGACGGATGCCTGTAGGAGCTAAAGAATATAATGATGCATCGATTTTTTGATCTTAATCCAGGCAAACTGCATAATATGATCCTAAGCTGAGGGAGAAATCACCGCGAAAGAGCGCAGCAAGAAATGAAAAGCGCAAAGAGAGGCGTCTAGTTGAAATAATATTCTTTTACCAATATTAATATTAAAATATATAATAATATATATATATATATATATTTGAGTATGTGTATATATACATATATATATGTATATATATACTTCTATATTCTGATACACAACCTTGTTTCTATAAATTACCCCAAGCTTCGATTATCTATAGGAGCTATAGGATATAATGCATATTGATTTCAATCCAAGCAAACAGTTTATAATGATCTCTAGCTGCATCGCGAAGGAACGCATTAAGAAATGAGAAGCGCAAAGAGAGGCACCTAATTAAAATTTACATATTTTCCAAATTAAGTACCCCTGCAGCTCTATATATATCAGATCTACAAAATTTATCTATATTCCGACTCATAATGCTGCTCTTATACACAAGCCCAAGCTTTGATCGATGGATATCTATAAGATTTCAATCCGAACTTCAATTCCTCTTAAACCTCAATTCTTAAACGTTTTAAACAGCTTACTCTTTCAGTAAATTATTCTTAAAATACTCCCAAAAGCAGCAATTGCTTTAATAATTAACATCCGAACAAGATATTTCCATTTAGTTGCGCAGACTTTGACAAACATTTCCGACAACAGCCGGAAGTCTTGACAAAAACAAAAATCATTAAAAATATTGGCCAAAAATTGCGAAAGTTTCTCGCAGAATATTCGCGACAGTTTTATCAGTGGCAACCAAGAAATTATTGGGAACCTCCAGTCACAACTGACATGGGAAAGGAAGGGGGGCGTTGCCTTTGTGGGCGGCATCCCATAAACGCCTCCATAAAGAAATTCCCAACGTATTCTTATTATACTTTGGCAGGCGAAAAATTAGCCATTAATTATTTATGCCGAAAATTTATGACGTTCGCTGGCTGCTTCCCCTTGTCCTGCTTTCGGTTTGTCATTCTGGCTAATTATCTCATGTTTTTTCGAGAACTCGTCTCCCCCCGTTGATTGCCACAAGGCGTGAAATTTGTTGGCTCAACAGATTCTGAGCTAAGATTAAAGCTGAAATACCCAGTTGATGCGTAGGAAATAATCCATTCTATAGGAATTATTCTATATAAAATCAAGAAATTTGAATATAATCATTTGCACTGTATTTTAAAAGCTTTGCATGAATCAGCAAAAGAAAGTTCCAATACTCTGAATAAGTTTAAGGAACCTTAGAATTTCACTTTGCACAAGCGGTTGTTGTCACTGTTGTGCAAGTTGTGGTTTTAGGGGTTGTGCAGGGGGTTGTTGGAGCGGATGTGCATGTTGTTGTTTCCGGTGTGGTGCAAGTGGTTGTTGTTGGTGTAGAAGTATGGGTTGTTGTTTTAGTAGTGGTGGTTGTTGTTGGTGTGGTGCTTGTGGTTGTTGTTGGTGTAGTGCAAGTGGTTGTTGTAGTTGTAGTTGTTTTTGTAGTAGTGCTTGATGTTGTGGTTGTTGTAGTTGTAGTTGTTTTAGTAGTAGTTGTGGTGCTTGTGGTTGTTGTTGGTGTGGTGCAAGTGGTTGTTGTAGTAGTAGTTGTTTTTGTAGTAGTGCTTGTTGTTGTGGTTGTTGTAGTTGTAGTTGTTTTAGTAGTAGTTGTGGTGCTTGTGGTTGTTGTTGGTGTGGTGCAAGTGGTTGTTGTAGTAGTAGTTGTTTTTGTAGTTGTGGTTGTTGTTGTTGTAGTGGTGGTTGTCGTAGTAGTGGTAGTTGTTGTTGTGGTTGTTGGTGTTGTTGTTTTAGTAGTAGTTGTGGTGCTTGTGGTTGTTGTTGGTGTCGTGCAAGTGGTTGTTGTAGTTGTAGTTGTTTTTGTAGTAGTGCTTGTTGTTGTGGTTGTTGTAGTTGTAGTTGTTTTAGTAGTAGTTGTGGTGCTTGTGGTTGTTGTTGGTGTGGTGCAAGTGGTTGTTGTAGTAGTAGTTGTCTTTGTAGTTGTGGTTGTTGTAGTTGTAGTTGTTTTAGTAGTAGTTGTGATGCTTGTGGTTGTTGTTGGTGTAGTGCAAGTGGTTGTTGTAGTAGTAGTTGTTTTTGTAGTAGTGCTTGATGTTGTGGTTGTTTTAGTAGTAGTTGTGGTGCTTGTGGTTGTTGTTGGTGTGGTGCAAGTGGTTGTTGTAGTAGTAGTTGTTTTTGTAGTAGTGGTTGTTGTTGTTGTTGTAGTGGTTGTTGTTGTTGTAGTGGTGGTTGTCGTAGTAGTGGTAGTTGTTGTTGTAGTGGTTGTTGTTGGTGTGGTGCAAGTGGTTGTTGTAGTAGTTGTGGTGGTTGTTGTTGTAGTGGTTGTTGTTGTAGTAGTGGTGGTTGTTGTGGTGGTTGATGTTGTAGTAGTGGTAGTTGTTGTGGTGGTTGATGTTGTAGTGGTTGTTGTTGGTGTGGTGCAAGTGGTTGTTGTAGTAGTTGTTGTTTTTGTAGTAGTGGTTGTTGGTGTTGTTGTTTTAGTACTAGTTGTGGTGCTTGTGGTTGTCGTTGGTGTCGTGCAAGTGGTTGTTGCATCTGTGGTGGTGGTGCACGTCGTGGTAGTTGGTGACGTACAACTTGTGGTTGTTGTTTCTTCACATGGTGGTGTGGTGGTGTCGCAAGGTGCTGCTGCTGTCACCGCACTGCCGCCAATAGCTTTCGTGTCCGACAACTGCTTCACCTCGGTGCAGCCCGTATTGTAGCTGACACACTGCTGGCTCTTTGAATCAAAGAAACGGGCACAGGCTTTCTGCACGGCGACACCACCAACGCACTCGTAGTACACCGAGCAGCTGCCGGGCTGCAGAGCACGGAAGCCATTCGGCTTATTGCTGCAGACAACGCGACGGTAAAGGTCGTTTCCAGTCGTCGATCTGATATTGGCCGCTCCGGTGGCGACTATCAGCAGGGACAAGGAGGCCAGCAGGACTGCAAGAGAGTACTATCAAGGTTAGCTTGTGTCGCCAAAGAAATTGGCTTGGAATAGGTACCGTAATGTGCTCTCATCTTGAATGTAGTGCGAATACAATTGGGCTAATGATAGCTGAGACAATGGCACACACTTTTATATGGTAGCCTCTGTCCTGGCCTTATCAAAACTTTGCAATTAGTTAGTGGTTTTTAGTTGTCAGCATATGTCGGGATGCTGTGTGCGGTCTGATCCTTTTGAAGTCTTTGCGTATCTTATCGCAACGCATCGCATCGAACAACCTCAAGTTCCTTTTTTCCATTTAAATTATGAATCAAAATGAAGAAAGTAAATTCGAGGCTAGTCTAAGCAACCGAATTGGAATACTCTACGAGAGTCAAGTAAGATTCTTGGAAAGAAGAAAGTTTAGGTACAGAACTCCTGATTATTGTCCCCGGTTGTACATATATTTATATAAGGGTAAACAGGACATTGACCTGTGGTCAGCGGCACGGAAATGCCCGACTGCCAATAAGGCAAGCCGAAATGTGAGTCAGTCGAATCGCTTAAAATGAAGGAAACGCTGAATTGATTATGGGTTGAGGTAATCAATAGCTCAGCTCGCCTTGCCTAACTGCCCGGCCACACGAATGTCCACTTAAGTTCGCATAAATGTTGTCCCCACACCGAGAGAGAGAGAGAGAGAGAGAGCCCGCCTTCTGCCTAGACAAACTAATATGCTTAATGAATTAACAAACAGTCTCGAGTCGCTGTTCTCTCTCGTTCCGCGTGGGCGTAATTAGGTGCGAATATACAATGCATTATGACAACCTGAACCCACACCCTCCCCACCCCTCTCGCTGTCCAGCTCCAATTTTGGGGCCAACAAGTGCATTTTGTCACGCACATTGTGCACCTGATACCGCCCGACCGACCGACCGACGGGCAGGCAGGCAGGCAGGTCTACCTCACGGTTATTAACTTTTCGCACACTTGTGGATTTTCGCATTTCAGACTGCAAAATGACGCTAATGAGCGTAAAGTCGCCCTATTTCAGTCTCAACAGCTCAAAAAAGCTATCGTTATCAAATTCTGGACGTAGTTAAAAGTGTATTTCGAAACAGTTTCAATTAGCTTGCAGGACTAGCGAGTAAACTCATTAAGCATCATATTTTCTCTAAGGTTTCACGAGTCAAAGCTATTTACTTTACAGGGTATTATTTGTGGAAATTCTAGTAAGTAGATTGTTTAAGGGCAAAGTTAGGAAAGTATGGAAAGGCTTCTTAGCAGAATCAAAGATATAATTGCAAGTGTTTAGGGTTTATATTTAGATATTGAATGATATTTAAGGCAGAGATATCAGATTTAAGGAAAAATTCCATATTTAATTTGTATATGATTTCTGTGAAAAGATTTGCACTTAAAAATATACTCCACATAAAATCATCTATGTCTGAACTAGTGGAAACATTTTGGGTAGATATTTTGTAAGTTAAATGAAAATTGATGAAATTGACGACTCTTCATTGTTTAATTTTACACCCTTATCGCTTCAATTTTGCTCAACTAATATGCCTTGCATGATGACTATAATAAGCATTACAGGCATTATTCTGCTCGGAGTCTTCTCTTCCTAAACTATTCTTCTTCTATTCTAAACTATTTAGCTAGTAGATAGTCTTATTTTGTAATTTGTAATTGTAATTGTACATATATACTCGTAGTTTGTATTCGTTTTTTACTTTTTTACTTTGCAACTCGTGTCGTACCTTAGACATTCTAATAAATGTTAGTAAAATGTAAATTAGGAGAGTAAACTTTAAATTCAGTTTTTCTTTTAGATAGCCATAAGTATATTTATATATTTTCAAATATTTAGCATTTATATTCTTGTCAAATATTTATATATTATCCAATATTTATATAATTTCCAATATTAATATATTTTCAAATATTTATATTTATTTATATATCATATATTTCCAGTATTTATATATTTTCCAATATTTGTATATAATTTCCAATATTTATTTTTTTATATATTTTCAAATATTTATATTATCAATATTTTCAATATTTATATATTTTGCATTATTTATAAAATATAATTTTTTATTTATTTTTTTTTTTTTTTAATATTTTTAAAGCAAAGTTAACCCTCACCTTAAACTGAATCAAAGTGTGTACAAAGTAGATTTTATTTCCTTTGGTTCAGCTTAAATTTTCGTTTAAGCCCGCGGCGAATTTTTATTGCAAAAGTTTGCATATTTTACGACGCCGAGGCGGACGCCCACGTAACCCCTTCGGCTGAACTGAGGCGCTAATGAAAGAAAGGCGTTTCCCGATTTTCCCACCAGCCTCCTCTCTCCCCGCTCTTCCACCCCTTGTGCCGATCTTAACAGGCCAAAACGGCAACTTTCACGTTCAGCTGGCGTTTGCTTTTGCTTTTCACTCAGTTTTAGCGCTTTTAGCGCCATTTGACATTCTCCCATTTGGCCATTTCTCATTTTGGCCCGTCTGCTGCATTTTATTGATTTTCATTTCTCGTCACTTTTCCCAGCGACGAGTGCAAGTTGCGTTTTCCTCTGCCCTCAACCAAAATGCAAACCCATAATCAACTTTTCCTTCTGCAATCGGTTTGTTTACACATCCGATAATAAGTTTTTTCGCTGTCAAGGTCGTTCTATGGCAGCGAACCCGCCCGGCGGAACCCGGGTAAACAACACAACACGACACACAACTCAACTCACTTCCCCTCTAGCCACAACCCCACCTCCACCCCCCTCAAATGCTGAATACCTACGCTCGCTCAACGGGGCGTATTGCAATTTATTTCTATTTAAAGCTAAAATATATAAAATTTCTTTTTGAACCCATCCTTAAATAGAACCAAGAGAAAACGTTTAAGAATTCTTCTTTTTTTTTCAAACAATTCATAAGGTTTTATGTTTTTACTAACTATAGCACATCTACTTTTAAAAAAGGCATAAAACATGAAAATCGCTTAAATAGTTCCTGAGTTATCGCAGTTTTTAGTTAAGGATTCGCCAAATTTGCTTGAAACTTGGGAACTTTATCTTACTGAAGAAAACTCTAGGATTAACGGATTAAACCTCTAGAATAAAGTTCAGAAGGAATTAAATTGTAACCCAAAATGAATAATGAGAATAAACAAAATATTATTTCTGCTGCGAAGCACATGAATTGGGTCTGTTTTTAGGGGCAGGAAGTCGTTGTGCCCCAACAATCATGCCACAAGTTGTTCCGTTTGTTGGTTCGATTTTTGGCGTTCGCTGAGTTCCAACCAAATACCTAAAAAACTTGTCGTCTTCATAAATAACAAATTAAGTTTGACATGCACAAAAGGAAAAGCACGAAATATATCGATGGGGCTTAATTAAATAACATGCTGCTTTAGGGACATGGCGAAAATCTCTCTCTAAATTCAACTTATATACAAATTAATGGGCAAAAGTACTTTTAATTCGGCCATAAAGCTGTTTTGGCCAAACGAATTAAGCGCCATTTTTGCCGCATTCAATTTCCATATATAAAATACTCAAGGTTATGGTCAATGGGGGGAGAGACAAGTACAAAAGCCAATTTAGCCAATTTTTCGGCGCCAGTTCTGAAGCCAAATACCCGGCCACGCCCCCCGACCGTTGCCAAAAGGCCAACAGGCTGCCGGAGGTGTCAGACCCCCGGAAATGAGTGTGCCCCAAGCAACTGGCCGAAAGAAAGGAAATGCCATCCAATGGCTTTCAATTTACCATTTCGAGTGGAGCCTGTGAAAAGGTCGACGAAAAGGCAAAACCACAGGCGGAAAATCAACAGGAAAATGCGATAAAAGGGTTCAAAGACCATACGAAAAGCTAATATATTTAAAGGATTAACGGAAAAACTTCTTTCAACTTGCAGAAATATTTATTAACTAGGGAAAATAAGGGAAACCCTCTTTCGACTTGTAGAAATATTTATAAACTAAAGCAAATTTAGACTGATAAAAAAATATATATTTTTAAGGAATATTTTGTCTTTTTGTATTATAAAAAAGATTATATTTTTATATAAAATCTTTGAGGTTTATTTATTTTAAACGTGCCTCGGGCAAGGCCGGGGTATACCCTCAAATATCCTATATAGACATGGGTCAAAATTTCCCATCCCCATAACTCAGTCTAATATCATCCGATTTGTATAAGATTTGGCTTTTTATTCATGGTTTTCCATCTAAATTAATCTTGCATTCCAATCTGAACACATATTTTTTAGTCGAATTTCAAGTCAAAATCTTACCCCAAGATTCGGATATGGACATGGGTCTAAATTTCCCATTCCCATAACTCGGTCAAATCTCATCCGATTTTGATGAGGTTTTTCTTTTTATTCATGGTTTTCCCTCTAGATTAATCTTGCATTCCAATCTGAACACATATTTTTTAGTCGAATTTCAAGTCAAAATCTTACCCCAAGATTCGGATATAGACATGGGTCTAAATTTCCCATCCTTATAACTCGGTCAAATCTCATCCGATTTTGATGAGGTTTTTCTTTTTATTCATGGGTTTCCCTCTAGATTAATCTGGCATTCAAATCTGAACACATATTTTTTAGTCGAATTTCATGTCAAAATCTTACCTCAAGATTCGGATATGGACATGGGTCTAAATTTCCCATTCCCATAACTCGGTCAAATCTCATCCGATTTTGATGAGGTTTTTCTTTTTATTCATGGTTTTCCCTCTAGATTAATCTTGCATTCCAATCTGAACACATATTTTTTAGTCGAATTTCAAGTCAAAATCTTACCTCAAGATTCGGATATGGACATGGGTCTAAATTTCCCATTCCCATAACTCGGTCAAATCTCATCCGATTTTGATGAGGTTTTTCTTTTTATTCATGGTTTTCCCTCTAGATTAATCTTGCATTCCAATCTGAACACATATTTTTTAGTCGAATTTCAAGTCAAAATCTTACCCCAAGATTCGGATATAGACATGGGTCTAAATTTCCCATCCTTATAACTCGGTCAAATCTCATCCGATTTTGATAAGGTTTTTCTTTTTATTCATGGGTTTCCCTCTAGATTAATCTG